TCCTGCTGCTCTTACTGCCATGAACAAGGATGACCACAAAGCTGATCTAGCAGTGCTTTGTTTTGGTTTGGTTTGTTTTTTCCTTCTTTCAGGCTTTTGTACATACACTGTACTGTGTATTACCGGTAGACTTGTTACTGTGTCTAAATGCTGATGATCAACAGTTGTGGTGGGATTACAGTTTTGCCTTAGATCCTGACTGGTATGCAACTGCACTACCAGGGAAGTGGAAAGTTGCACCCGTGTCCCAATTCCTTGCTTGTTTCAAAGATGATACATGTGCCACAAGATAAATCTTTTCCTCTGTAGTGTACCTTGATTTAGGCTGGCATGCACTGGAGAAGAAAGCTGAGACAAGGCAGAACCTAACTTTTTTTCCTTGCTCTTTCTCAGTGAAGGTTCGTCTCCGCTTTGTGACTTGTGATTCAGAGGCTTATGCAAACTTAATGCATCTGTAAAATCATAATTACAGTTAGACTTGTAACCATTATCCACATGTGATGGAAAGAAGGAGCTAGATGCATAAAAAAGTTACGTTAACAAAGGACCAGAAACAATTTGGATGTAATTTCCATGTGGAGACTGAATTTCTGTGGCATGCTGCTGTAGCAGACTAGAGTATAAGACAGTTTCAATGATTTATTCCATTACTTTTATATCTGAAATGTTACTTTTTCAGAGTGGTATTGGAACTGTTCACCAAGAAAGAATTTCACTCAAGAAAAAATTGGGATTTTAACCATTAGAAAGGGGTTTAGATGCATGATTAATTGTGGGAAATAACAGTAGTGGTATGAATGCACAATTTGGATATTAGACTAAAATTATAGCATTGAAGAGTTACCTCTGTCAACACTGAAATATTAGGTAATTCAGGATGGGAATGAAGGGTTATTAAACTTTTTCCCCAAAACCTGTGCTGCTGGCTTTGAAACGCAAAGCTTGCGATGTTTGTTTGTCCTTGGTTTGTCTGTTAGAAATCATCTTTGCAACCGTAAATATTGGCAATAATAATAATGAAGATGATGATTCAGATTCTGAAATACAGTTCTGCACCAGCTATTGGATTCCATGGCAAAATCTACAGTTTGGAATTGCACAATACTGAAATTTCACAGCTGTACAGTGGAAAAAATGAAATTATGTGTTCTGTTATACCAGGAGTGCAGTCTTTTAATTAAGTTATTTTGACAAGATGGGTTGAGGTGCATTTAGACAAAAAGTAAAAATTCTACTACTTACTTGTAGTCAGTTCTGTACCTCAGTCATGGTAGAAAATATTTTGATACTAACAACTGCTGTGAGGGGAAGCAGCGGGCATTTCCAGTTTAATGAGACATTTAGACGCCAGTATGGTTTTTGGAAAGAAGATTAGCTTCCTAAGGAGGAGAAAAGATAGACAACAGCAGTTTTTGGGATGAACCTTCACTTCTTATGAAGCTGCTGATAAAAGCAAGACTTGGAATAACATTTTACTAAGCCATGTTGGTATGACAAGGCTGTGTGGCCTTTTCAGGTTTTAGTTAATAACAGAGAAACAGTTTAAATAACTGAAATTACAATAGGAACTTTTTTTTTACAGTAATGTGTTACCTACTTTTTGCAATGCCGTTTTCTCCCTTACTCTGTTTAGCATTCTATATACACAACTTTGTATGGGAAACTAGTAAGCAAAGCTTCTTTTGAAAATCACCTATTTAGCTGGCCATCTAATTTATAGCAGTGTTAGGAAGCAGTTTGGGAAGGCAGTCCTATGTGCAAAGCTTGTTTAGTAAGTGAATGTTGACTCAGAGGAACATGAACTAATAAGGGAGATGGGGAATAGTAAGGAAGACTTTTCAGTACTAGCAGCGCAGCTCAGATTGGATACATATATGGTAAAAATTGTGCTGTCGGCACTGAGAGTCTAGAGTGTGGTCCTGTACTAGTGATAGATTTGCTTTTAAATACAGTAAAATATAAACAAACATGCTCATAAAATGGATTCAGCTAACCAGGTTGATCAGAAGTATCAATAGCATTGTGTTAAGTTTTACTAACCTTGCAATGTCAATTTACATGTTTTTAACATGACAATTTGACCATTTGCATCTCTTTTGGCAAAAACAAACAAAAAAATTACTTGTAAAACTATGCATCAGGTATGTTCCCATCAGCGTGACAAGAGTTCTTCTGTTTTTATTGCAGGTTCCATCTGGGTTGTTCATTCCTAGTATGGCAATTGGAGCAATAGCAGGCAGGATTGTAGGAATTGCAGTGGAGCAGCTGGCTTACTACCATCATGACTGGTTCATTTTCAAGGAGTGGTGTGAAGTTGGAGCTGACTGTATTACACCTGGTCTTTATGCCATGGTTGGTGCTGCTGCGTGCTTAGGTAACTAAAATATAACAAAGTAAATAAGTATCCAATTTCTTGTATGTTGCCAAAGTAATGATTAGAAATGGAAGGAGATATAAACGTGTGCAGTTTTGGAACACCTTCTTATATGGACTTCTCCGTCTTCAGAATAATACATTCACATCTCTACACGAGACCGTCAGATCCTTGTGATCTGAGGAATAACGTGAAATTTAAATTGATCACAAATAGAAGAATTTAAATAGTAGTGTTTGCTTTCTATTTTTGGTATCAAGAGGTGTCATTAATACATCAGTCAGAAAAATCAGTTCCTTGAAATGTATGAAGTAGAGGATTTGCAGAGTCAAGTACTGTTGAAATTACAAGGAGGTGATGTGATCAGCTGCCACATCTACATGAATTGCAAAAAATGTTACTGAAATTCATAATCCAGACAAAACCTTCCAAAGTGTCTGATGATTTGAGGAGTCCAGCTTGAGATATTTTTAACAAGTCTGATTTACAAACTGTTGAAAATCAGCTTCATGGAAGGAGGCTTAAGTTGAGCACCTAAACTAGGAGAGGTTTTTTTGAAGGTCTTGTCCTAGCTTGTCACTACAATGCCTTAGAAATTAAACTTAAAAGCTATTAGTACAGATCCTACAGAAGAGCGACCAAATAAACTAGTGGTACAAATTTACGTTTAGGAGAGGTTGTCTTTTAATAGATCAACTTGAATCACTTCCGAATGCTTTGAAAGGAAGATTGTATTCGTTTATTGAATGAAGATATGGCATCAGAAACCTTGGCAGGAAAAACATCTTGAATACTAACCAGAGAGAAATATAGTCCCTGTCTTCTCCCATTGTCCAAGAAAGAGATTTCATCAGCTCAGAATTCTCTCTAGCTTTTATGATTCAGGAACAGCATTAAATTCCTAATCCTTTGGACAACATAGCTGTTGAATTGCTACCTGTGACTTCCCTGCATTAGTTCCATTCTTCTTCCAGATTCTCATCTTACTGGATTTCCTTGCATTTCTCAGTATTTTTAACCTAAGTGTGGTATGGAGAAATACATAGTTTTATTCTGTTTACATGAAAGAACTGCACATATTTTTCAAATCTCTTTTTTCTGTGACTTTCTAGGAATTTTCCCTAAAGCACACTTTTACTTCTAAAAGTTTTGTGTTCTTTTTCCCTGTCTGCTTCTGTTTGGATTATACAGAATGATGTTCGTCAGATGACCTTTAATGGCAAAGTTGCATTAGTAGTTCTCAACAGGGAGGCGGGAAATTCTAAATTCATTGTGATCTGATACTAGAATGTTACCATTTTTCTTGCAGGTGGTGTGACAAGGATGACTGTGTCCCTAGTAGTTATTGTCTTTGAGCTAACAGGAGGGCTGGAATATATTGTGCCCCTAATGGCTGCAGTCATGACCAGTAAGTGGGTAGGAGATGCCTTTGGTAGGGAAGGCATCTATGAGGCACACATCCGACTGAATGGATATCCTTTCTTGGATGCAAAGGAAGAATTTACTCACACAACATTGGCTGCTGATGTTATGAGACCTCGAAGAAGCGATCCACCTTTAGCCGTTCTGACGCAGGACAATATGACAGTCGAAGACATAGAAAACTTGATCAATGAAACCAGCTATAATGGTTTTCCTGTTATTATGTCAAAAGAATCGCAGAGACTAGTGGGCTTTGCTCTAAGAAGAGATTTAACTATTGCAATAGGTAATTATCTTCCAGTATTGCATGATTATATATGCTAATGTAAATTATTTTATAGCTTAAAACAGAATTTACTCTGTGTGTTTCTAGACTGATTTCAGATTCAGATACCTTGCACAGGCTGTCTGTTCCTTTATTGAAGTATATGATTATCTTCAATAGCAGGCTGTGAAATGGAGAAAATGTTCATCTCTTTGTCATAAAAACAAGAGTTGTCACATTGAAGAAGGCCAAAATGTCATCTAGTCTGGTATTTTTGTTTGTTTTGAGGCTTTTGCTAAGTATCTCTTTTCCTTAAGTGACGCTACATTAACATTCTTCTTCAGAATTGAGTAGTTCTGATTTTAGAACGTCAGGGTTCTGTGAGAATTACTGTCCAAGTCATTTTTAAATTTAAATGCCTATCGTACTTCTCTCTGACAGTATGTTATTTACTGTTGTTATAACAACTAAGATTGTATTATGGAGAGAGAAGTGAAATATTAATTATTTTAGGTTTCTGGGGTTTTTTTGTAATGGTTTTATTTGTGTAATGGGAAATTTGGCCCTAGGCACATGAGCACACAAGCCCTGTTTGAGCCCTCTTTCTCTGAGTATTAGAACTTGTGTGATACTTGTGACAATGCTTTGTGCACTGGCAAGAAAAATTCTGTCGATTTTGAGGATATTATTGTAACCAAAGGAAAAAAACATTATTATGTAAGAAAATGTTACAAAGCTGTAACATTTGGTACATGAAATCAATGATGGAAGTTGCACCTTAAACTACTTTTTCCCCCCCCCCGTAATTCATAAGACTGTACATTGAGAAGTATCGCTTTAACAAAGACACTTGAGGAAGAGACACAAAAGTCTCCTGAAACTTTTTAAAAAAATGTTTTGTGAACGCAACACTGTTTACTTCAGTAAAATTTTTGCTTGTGGCCTTAATACTCTGTATACTATGATACTGCACTGTGTAGGATGTATAGGAATGTCCAAAACTTGGAAATCATTCTAGAAATCATACTGTTCTAAGTTTGCATTTACTTAAGAGTAAATGGGGGAATGGTAGAACGTTCTTCTAACAATACACTTTCCCAGGTAAGACTCATTTCAGCTGCTGAGATGGCACAGGGCAAGTTGCTTAGTCTTGGATTTTGGCTGCGTTAAGAGAGTCCTTTTGTGAAATAGTTCAGGGTACAGGGCAGGATGCTGATGTCACCAAGGTGATGAAGACATGGAAAGGAAGAGGATCCAGTTCACACAAAGTTAAATAAATCCATTATGAACAAGAAGACAACATTTTCAGAGTGATCAGAAATGAGTTCTTTGGTTTCGGACCAACAGTAATTACAGCCATTGGAACCGTGGCAGGGGAGCTGTCAATTGAGATTGGCTTTCCCCTTGACAGTTTCTTCAGCAGCCGTCTGTGTGCTTGCTGTATGTTAGTTTTTAAGTCTTTCCACGTCTTTATAGTAAATAAAAGCTATTTATTGGAGTGAGAAAGGTAGTAGCCAAAGAATGGCTAAAGCTGTATGGTAGATGGCTGTTGTGATTTCTGCACAAACACTTCTTAGGGATAAAGCAGTGGCTATGGAAACACATCAAAATAGCAGAGATCAGAATATCAGCATCTAGGGAATAACATCAGAGTCTGGTAGTGTTGATTGATCCTGCCTGTTTGCACTAAATTATATTACTCCATGTAAATTCTTCCTCTGCTCTTCCCCCCCTTCCTCTTTTTCTTAAAGAAAGTGCTAGAAAGAAGCAGGAAGGGATTGTTGGCAGCTCCAGGGTCTGTTTTGCCCAGCATACCCCATCGCTTCCAGCAGAAAGCCCTCGACCTTTGAAGCTTAGAAGCATACTTGATATGAGCCCTTTCACCGTGACGGACCACACACCAATGGAAATAGTGGTGGATATTTTCCGGAAGCTGGGTCTGAGGCAGTGCCTTGTAACACACAATGGGTGAGTAAAGTGGCAGCAATGCTGTTCATTTTGTTAGATACAGTAATTTTCACTTCCAGGATCAGAGTATTTGAACCGGGATATATTCCAGGATCATGGTATTTGAACCCGTAAGTCTGGTACTGCAACAGAGGACCCTAACTGTTCATTAAGAAGGTGCTGTGCTGTGGCACCTCTCTTAAATTCTTACTCCTCCCTTGTATTGCAAGTGAGCAGGCAGGTGTTTTCACTCATTTTAAGATGTTGTTTTAAAAATGAGTTCTCATGCAGCAAGTTTTGTGTGTGCAACTTGCATGTGGAGGAGACACAACTTGTCTCACAGAGGTTTAGTCTTGTGTGGTGCACAGTCTAAGGCCTGTATTTCCTTGTTCTTACGTACGTTCTGGCAATGGGCAACATGTCAGCTGTTGAACATCTACAAATATCTGGGTTCATAAAAAGTAAGGGAGAAAGTGATGCAGTCAATACCTCCTCTTCTGGAGTTTAGTGATGGCAATTACCACCAAGCTCTGTGTTTTGGAATACTAACAACTAAATAACTGCTACTAGTTCTGGAACTTCAGTCTGCCACCTTGGTTTCTACACTTCAAAATATTTCAAGAAAGTATTTTTAAGATTTAGAATGTTTGTAAATGAGACTATAGGGAGTTGTCATGTGATTACCCACTAAATAAATCAGTCCTAGGCATGGAAACGTAAATGTTCATTATAATTGCCTCTTATTTAAGCTACTCCTTTTTTTACATGATCTTTTTCTGTGTAGCTGTTCTTTTAACATTCTGCTTTCCTGTCTCTCTTGCATTAAAACACTTGACACACAGCATTGCAGCTCCTACCAGAGTTTCTTGCATTCTCTTTAGCATGTCTCTTTAGCATGTCTTTTAAGGCACCTGGGGAGGGAAACATTACCTACTAATCCGCGTTATTTAGGATCAATGTCCATGGGGCAAAACCCAAGAAACCTGAAATATGGGTGGGACTTACTTTGTTTTGCTGTGGGCAAAAGGACTGCTGCTATAAGTGGCAAATATTTAAATATTGCATTGGTTTCCAAGTTTATTTTTTTCAGATGTATTTTAAAACAAATTTATTTTAAATGGCCTGCCTTTTTTTTCTTCAATGCGTCCCTGTATGGAATGGCAAGTAGATGTTTTCAGAAGCATAAAGGACTTTAAAAACCTTTCTCTGATGGGGAAAGGACATCATGATCTGACACTTAGAAGTCAGTGCAGGCATGCAGTTATTCTTTTGGGGAGGTAAATTCAAATTGATAAAACTTCAGTGAAGAATATTTACTGTCTCTTTTTTTTCTTAGTTTCTGTTGTGGTTGAGCACTCAAACATTGACATTGATGTTAAAATTGACTCTAAAGAAAGCTTAATAATGCAAAGCTATGTCAAACTGTACTATAAATTTTTAATTATTTTATGATAAAGTAGCAGCAACTATGGATGGCTTTAATACTTTGCTGTTTTCAGACGTTCATATTTGTTGTCCTGCTTCAGTTTACACACTTGTGATATTCCATGAGCACACTGTCCATTACAGTAAATACTAGTGCTAGTGGTATTTAGCCGTGGCATGTAGCCATGTGGACATCAAGGACTAATCTGTCTTTTGGCAAATTTCCTGCAAATTTACCCACATAAAGACACACATGAACTTACTGGTTCCAATCCAGATTGGAACAGGAACCGTGCAGAAATTGGTGCCGATGACAAACACAGAGATATAGAAAGATTGAGTCTCACTCTTCCTAATTTGTAGCAGAATATCCATTTGAGGGAGTTGCTCTTGATTTATACTGTCATGAATGAGAAATTTGTCTGTTTCTAGGGCCACCAGATAACCCTGCTCTATAGAGCAGCTTCAAACCTCAATTGCTATGATGTTACACAGTTACTACTTTGTTCATCTACTGTGGCTTGTTAAAATGTGAATAATGATCTGTATGTGTGAGGAGAAATAACTACTAAACAAAGGAAATAAAGTAGATTCTAGTTTCAGTGCCTCTAAAACCTGAAGAGATGGGAATTTAGGGAGAAGGGATGGAGTATGCTTCCCTGACGTGTACTTGATACGACAAACATACTGCTCTGGGGTGGGTGAAGATCCAATTGTGGTTAGCATTTTGGGAGAAAAACAAAAAAGGCAATGTCTGGGAAAGGGTACTGACTTTGAAATCATTTTTCATTTAATTATCTCATTAGCTTTCCTGCAACTTTCTTTTTTTTTTTTTTTTTTAGTTTTGCTCTAATCCTTTTTCATTATGATTAGAACTTTTTTTTATTTGATTTCACACACAGTTATTAGCATAACATGATCTGTTTCAGGATTGTCTTGGGGATCATCACAAAGAAGAACATATTAGAGCATCTCGAGCAACTAAAGCAGCACGTCGAACCCTTGGTGATTAGATATATCAGATCTCATAATTAGACACATTAGAAGTCAGGAAGCATGAAACTTGTGAACTGTTCAGGGCTTTTATGACATCGGCTGAACAATGAAATCATCTTACGCTAAAAATTTGTATTAAACCATAAACCAGTATGTGCAAAATCCTTTTGTTAAGCTGGTAATATGGGCATACTGTTAGTCACAACATTAAAGGAAAGCAAACAATAGACTTGCTGATATTTTTGTTCTTGAGATCACATAGATCCATCTGGTTGATCTGCTGATTTCCCCAGGTGGGAAAGCACGCAGCTAGGAATATTTTTTTCCCCTCCTAAAGCAAATTAAGATTTTCATATATGCCAATTTCTTCTTCTGATCTTGACAGCTTTAAATAGCTGTTAAATAGCAAAGTATCACGTCTTTTGAGAAGCAAAGCCAAGCACGGTCTTAATGTACCGCAGCATTAGATCTTCCCTGTAATCCCCCTTTATCAACATCATTTTTTAAAAGTACTCTTATTTTTAGTAAAGTCCTGTGATTCTGCTGCTGTTACCTACAGCAATGAACGTACTCCTTTATAAGATGTACAGTGATATCCCAGGCCACTAAGTGGCACGCTACTATGTTGACTTTCGACTTCAGAATCTAAATAACTGTTTTAACCGTGATGTTGTGAACTAACCTTAGATAGAAGTTAGACTTTGTCTTAATTTGGACATGGGTTGCTAGCTACATCTCTACTAAACCTACCCACCAAGTTTAGCTGCTTATGTGCAAAACATGCTAATTATGTTCTCATTTTATGCTCATATTTCACAAGTATTTCATGCATCCTTTAATAAGACAAAACAAAATGTACTAACCAGAATAACAAGGGCAGCAGCTCGTTCATTCTGCTCTTTGCTTCTCCTGTGATATTATCCTTTTGGACAGTCTCACCCTTTTTGATATTTTGCAGAGTTAAAATTTTAAAAGCCGTGAAGACCCTGTCATAAGAGCACAGTATCTAAATTGGAAAATGACAATTTTCTTTTATTATTCACAATTTATTTTCTAAAGCTGTGAACTTCAAAAACTAGTGAACTACTGTTTATTTTACAAAAGTTCCATGGCCAATACAGCGTGCTCCTATGAACAGGAGCCTGAGCCACTGCGTCAGACTGGGCGGATCCTTATGATTTAAAAATGGAGGGAAGGGGAGTTTGATTTGCCGTGAGGATTTTGGGCCATCAGGCGGTACGTCACTTCTGATGGCTAGGTTGGAACATGTCTCCCTTATGAAACTGGATCAATATCACTTCTTTTTCATACCTCTTTTTTTCTTTGTCCCTCTTTGTTACTTTTTTGTTGGCATACGCTAATCAAAATTTCATTTTTGTAGAAACAAAAAGTTAAATAAAAATTGTCATGGGCTCTACTTGTATTACTTGTATTTCATTAAAATGGACTACAGCTGTCAGAGACCATCCGATACGGTGTCTCAGCATTGCTGTCTTTAACAAACCGGTGGTTCCTCAGTATTTTGATTAATAAAATGTTTTTGTTTAAATAAGAAAATCAGGCTGTTTACTTTTGCTCTATTCCTGTCAACAAAAAGGACTTGGCTACAGATTTGTTCTGCTTTATCATTTTCCTGCTTGGATTAATATCGATCTTCCGTTTATCCTTTTCAGGCGCCTCCTTGGCATTATAACAAAAAAAGATATCCTCCGTCATATGGCCCAGACGGCAAACCAAGACCCCGCCTCAATAATGTTCAACTGAAACCCATAGCTGAGGAGAGAGAGGAAACGGAAGAGGAGGTTCATTTGTTGAATAGCACAACACTTTAGTCTGGGGGATACTTCTAAAATCAGAGACGAGAGCTGGGTTTTTGCATGACAGTGCTGCTGGAAATCGGGAGTTGGTTTGGGGGAGTACGTGGCGAGGAGGAAGGCTGATGGGAGCGTGGGAAGGGAGAGCTGCCGTCCTGCACTGGATGCGTCCCGAGACGTCAGGTCTGCCATGATAGTGCAGAGGGTGAGGAGCCGTGCGAGGTGGCGCAATTCTCCAGCCAAGCCTGGTACTTCAGCATTGAAGAGATGCGGATGAGTCCCTGTTTCTGGAGGGATCGTTCTGAATTGAGCCATCTTACGGAGACTGAAAGGTCTTGCCCTTTTTACCATTGAAAACTGTTGCGTTCGCTCATGAAACGTATAATTATTACTCGTCACCTTTCGACATTCCATTAAGAGCTTTATTTCTCTCTCTCCTGAGCCGTAACGAAGCCTCTTTAAAATTGGTGTGCCCTGTTGAAGCAGTTGTTTCTCATATTGAGATGTACTGTGAGTTACTGAGGTCCGATCACAAGAAGGGAGGTTTTTCTTGTGCCATTAAACGCCTGAGTTTGTACATCATTAAATGCTCGGGGCCGTACAGATCCACTGCGACAAAACCAGATTGAACAGGCAATGCCTCGCGAGAACCGTGCGCGAGACTTCTTTCAGCCCGTGTGCTGTTGTGATACGAGAAAAATTAAAACCAGACGAAACTAGCGTTTCAAAGAAAAAGACTGTTTTTGCTGCAGAAGTTATCAATAATGTGACCTGGTCTTATGCAATTTTTTGTATTATTGAAAATACTATGACATATACCAATGTTGTGCAGTATAAAGAAAAATACTGCTATTCTACTAGTTAAGAGCTGGAACAATTCTGTATACGTGTATCTGGTAAAAATTGCATGCTACAACACTGGAGATCTTTTTTTCCCCCCCTGTAAAATTTGAGAACGGTCATTTTTATTTTTTCTTCTCCACAAAAGACGTTCCACTGCTGACATGGTAGGAAGAAATGTAACTCATAACTTGCACTAAATGTATATTATTTTTCTTGAAGTTTTACCATTCTTTATTTATATTTGTATGAATTAAAGAATCTATTAAATATGAATCAGTTACTATCTCACATAACTAATTACCTTTTTAATGTGATTTTATAGAATTAATTCATAATCCTCTGCAAGTAAGGGAGGATTAGCAAATGTTTACAACTAGATGAAGGGTTTAAACAAAGTGGTTCCTTTATGATCCAACATGCATAGAAGATAATTTTCAAATATAACTTTCACTGCCGTTACCTTGAGATTTCCTTTTTCCTTTACTAGTAGATAACTGGAATAATAATATTAAAATTTTATTTAAAAAAATGCAGGGTTTTAAAAATAATAGGAAGAAAGCAACTATAATTATTAGATTGCTTTTGATTTTTTTTTTTTTTTTTTTTTTTCCCCCCCTGTTTTTTTTTTTTTTTTTTTTTTTTTTTTTGTTCCCCCCCAAGTATATAGAGGTGTAAATGACATGTAGCCACAGAAGATGAGCAGCAGGGCAGAATCAAATCCAGTACTTGAAACTTTGGCAGGACTTTAAAATTCAGCAGCAACAGACACGCCAGCAGGTGAACTGACAGATCCCTAATTTCTTTACTTTCTTCTTTCCAGCCATGAGATTAATTTGTTTCATGTTCATTTTATCAAACCACCGCCACCACAGACACATGCAGAGGGAAAAAGGCAGTATGCTGTAAGCCTAAAGTTGGCTTACAAAAATCATGCTTTATACTATGGGGTGAGGTAAAATGTCCTTAACAATTATGCCTACAAGACTGCAAAAAGATAAAGGGTAAAAGCCTAAAATAATAATCCTAGATATCTCTGAGGCATTCATCACAGTTACCTCAAACATCTTTATTCACAAAGTACTCAGTATGATTTTACCTGAAGTCCAATACCATACTGAAACGGCAGTCTGGTACTCTTGGCAAGCTCCAAAATAATGCCTGTGCTCAAGTGCTCTGCTGAATTTTTACTTATTTTTCCCGAGTATAAAACTGCCACCTACATCTCATCATCTCATCTCTTGCAGCAACTGGAACCAGCAGAAAGTGAAAGGTGCCAGTGGGCTCATGGTGATCAGCCCCTGTATTAAAAATGGGTTTGGAACTGAAACAGAGAATCAGGGTGCGTTAAAATGGGAGCATGCAGCAACGAGCTGTATTCTTCCACGTGAAATCAGTGCTAGTGGTTCAAAGTGTGTTCTGTTACATTGCGTAAGCCTGAAGAAACTTTCACAAAGAGCAGGATTTGGCCCGATTATGGAAGGCAGCTCTGGAAGTTGTCTGTGATGCTGGTTTCCGTTGTCTTAATTTTTTTCTACAGTGGAAGAATATAAATGCACTACACGTATTAAGAATTGCTTTAAATCAGTTTGAAACCTCTGCCATTTCTGATGTTCTCACAAAACACTGCTGTGTGTACTGTATTAACTTGCACCTGATTCTACAGACTGTACTGTCTGAATTAAAATACAGTTCACACCCCTGCTGTGTTTTATAATTTCAGGATGGATCCCGAGTGCCGCATATGAATTGTGCATCTCTGTTTGCTCTTCTTACCTGCTAAGCTTTCCCTGTTGCCATTTAAAGTGGGTTCTGGTAATGAAGTACGTGTGCCTGTGCTGTGCAACAAAAATTTTCTAACGTAAAACTTCCAGCGCCTTACTCAAGAAAAAAAAAAAAAAATGGTGGATGGGAGGGGGAAAGTGTCAGCGTGTTTTGTTTTGTTTTTTTTTTTAAATCATTCAGTTTCTGGTTCATGAAGAATGCATTCTTTGTTAATCTGTGACATTGCCTAGAGCTGTATTTAATATTGATCTTAATGTTTTTATTTATACTAGTGTGGTAGAGCTGCATATCATTACGGTAAAAATTCTGATTACTGTGATGATTTAATCAAACATTAAAAACTTCTGTTGTATGACCATTTATTGTTCTGTTGTGTTTTCTCATTGTTTTTACAAACAATATGTGTGTTTATTTTTTAATTTATTTTCCCTGAGAGAAGACTAACAGCTAAGAATTTTACACACAAAACTAGTGAGCAGGTAACAAGGAAAAAAATGAGTTTTAGAAGATGATGCAGTTTTTGTATTGCCTAGGATTTTGCTGCAAATCAGTAGCCAAATAAACCCAGTCAAACATTAGTTCTCGGGGTTTCGGTTTAGAAATTTTTAAAATTGTTTTAATTATAAAAATATAGAATAGTTGACTTCCTGATTTAAAAAGAGTTAAAAGTGGATGATGATTTTACTGTCTAAAAGCCAGGATTGCAGAGTTTTTACACAGTACCCTTTTTTTATAGCAGAGGTACTAAAAATGTAAGTTTGACATCTGTTGATGATGTATATTAATGATGTACAGCACTTCCGTATTTTTTCAGCGTAACAGTTTTCCTTCTCAATTAAAGGTTAATAGATGAGACTGGAACATTCATACTAAGGTCCCTATTTTTGCAGATTTAAGTTCCTATTTAAACAACAATGCAAAAAGTGAGTACTTTTTTGTTACTTGTATGACTTACAAGGCATTAACATGAAGGTCTCTTCTGCTTGGAACCTAAAAAGTAAGGGGGAATGAGACTCAATTTTCAAGGAAGCACCTCCTTTTTATACATAAAAACATCCAATTCTGGTCCCATGAAAAAGTCCCTGTATGCTTGTGCTTATGTTTGAATAAATGGAACATATGTTGCTGAAAGGGGGTGGGATTGTCAAAGTTACAAAAGTAGATGTGGCATGTGATTCTGAGAACTGAAAATACCTTTTTAAATCAAAAACTCAAGATACACTTTTGAAGCACTCCGACTTACACTGTGAATTACTTATCTGTTCGTGCTGGAAGGGACCTCTGGAAGTACAATCGTTTGCTAGAAAGCAGGGACAACTTTGTGATTTGAGCGTGTTGCTAGTGGTTTATAATCTTCCTTAGCAGTAGTATCATCATCAGTAATGACATGAGCTGCTATGGCAGGCCTGTTGAGTAAGAGCAAATGTTGGTTTCCATTGGTTTCTGGACTGTTATTTCAAGCACTTCCCCGAGAGTAAAACTCTCTAATTGACAAAATAGAGCAGTGGACCAGTGAACTTGAAAACAATTTGTATCTTGTACAAAATCACTTCAATTCTATTTTTTAAAAATCTGAATTAGGGAAAACGGGCTGACTTCACCTGACTAATAAGGTAGCAAATCGCAGTGGAATTTCTAATTTATCTTGTAATGTCTTAGCTGTTTTTTAATCCTATTTGTTTCCTGTTAATTCAGCCAGCTCCAGAAGATTGAGACCAGATGTAGCGGTGTGTTACAATGCAGAAGGGAAAGCTGCTGTAACTGAGTTGGTTTTTTTACCTTTGTCGTGGGACAGAATGCACAATGCCAGTAAAGACCACCAAGAGCACGGAAATGGAGTTTGGTAGGTGTAAATAAGCAGCTGGTTGCGACTAGGTGACACCAGACGAGTCCATGACTGAACCACTTGCCCAGTGCATACAGCTTCTCCAAGAAATGTGAAATAGTAACCCGTCCTTTTTGTGCTGCCTTACAGCAAGTAGCACAGTAACGCTAACCGCTCTAGGTTTACCTTCAGGCTACGAAATGGAGAAGAGCACAGAGCGGAGAATAACCCAAACCCTGTGCTTCAGCTTTTCCTCTGCTGAAGCTTGAGCTGCAGCAAGTACCGGGAGCAGGGGAAACACGGTGACCCTGCGCTGCGGGGTGGACCCTG